GCACTCCAGTCTGGGCGACAGAGTGAGACTCCAACTCAAAAAATAAAATAAAATAAAACTAATTCACCTTACTCTCGCTTGCACTGTCCCGGGATTTCTTTTTTTGTTTTTTCTTTTCTTTTTTTGGGGGGTTGTCGCCCTGGCTACACTCTGGCTGGAGTGTAGTGGCACACTCATGGCCACCTAGCTTCGGCCTGCTGGACTCCAGCAATCCTTCCGCCTCAGCCTTTCAAGCAGCTGGAACTACAGGTATGCACTACCACACCTGGCTAATTTTTGATTTATTGTAGAGACTAGGTCTCGCCAAGATGCCCAGGTGGGTCTTGAACCCGCGGGCTCAGGTAATCCACTTGCCTCGGCCTGGCCTCCCAGAGTGCTAGGAATACAGGCTGAGCCAACAAGCCCAGCCCCAGGATTTCTTGAGTAGATATGGAAGTTATAGCAAAAGCTAGCTCTCTGGGATCTGTATATAATCCAGGGCTTACCTATGAAAATAAATCATGTGAATTCATTCAGAGAATAGCAACCATTGAATTCTTTTTAGCAAGGTGTGACCTAATCACACTCGCCTGCCAAAACACCCTGGAGAATCATCTGTAAGGGGATATGGATCCAGTCAGAACAAGACAGGAAGCTACTTTAAAAGTCCAGTCTGGGCAACAGAGTGAGACTCCAACTCAAAAAAAAAGTCCAAGTCAGCCGGCTTGGTGGCTCAGCCTGTAATCCCGCACCTTTGGGAGGCTGAAGTGAGTGGATTGCCTGAGCCCGCAGCTTCAAGACCTGCCTGGGCAGCAAGACCTCATCTCTACAATAAATCAAAAAATCAGCCAGGCGTGGTAGCGCATGCCTGTAGTTCCAGCTACTTGGAAGGCTGAGGCAGAAGGATCGCTGGAGCCCAGCAGGTCAAGGCTGCTGTGGCCGGGAGTGGCCACTGCACTCCAGTCTGGGCAACAGAGTGAGACTCCAACTCAAAAAAAAAAAAAAAAACAGTCCAAGTCCACATTGGCACATTGACCATGTAAGTAGAGAAGAAGGATGCAGATACAGACTCTAAGGCAGCCTTGGTGTTGACTGGAGTTAGTATAAAGAACTCCATAGTCTGGGTGCAATGACTCAAGCCTGTTATCCCAGCAATTTGGGAGACAAAGGCAAGAGGAATGCCTGACCCCAGGGGTTCAAGACCAGGCTGAGCAACTTGGCGAGACCTCGTCTTTACAATAAATCAAAAAATTAGCTGGCTGTGGTGGTGCGTGCCTATAGTTCCAGCTGCTTGGAAGGCTGAGGCAGAGGGATCGCCTGAGCCCAGCAGGTCAAGGCTGCCGTGGCCATGAGCAAGCCACTGTACTCCAGCATGGGCAGCAAAGTGAGACTCCAACTCGACAAAAAAGAACTCTGACTGGGGTACTAGTGCCATTTACTGAGGCAGGAGCTACAAGGAAGAGGAAGAACATATTTGCAGTGGTGAGTAAGAGGCAACAAAAAAGAGACTGAATTCATTTTAGGGTATGAAGTACCTCCAGGTCAACCAGGTGGAACTCCCAGGTCTAGTGCTTGGGCATGTGGTCTAGACTAAAGGTGATAGATTTGAGGGTCATGAGGACATTGGGATTGTTGAAATCATGAGGTTGAAGGAAATTGCCTATAGAGTATATATAGCATGAGAAGTTAGTAGAGTGGTTTCTTGGGACACACCCTGCATTTCACTGAAAGTATTTATTTAAAGGATAACCAAATGGCTATTTGTTTTCTAGACGTATCTGTTTGGCCGAGGCATTTCTTACTGCAGATACTATATTGAATACTCTGCAGAACATTTCTGAAGGATTGGTGGTGTACCCCAAAGTAAGAGGCCTTAATTAAAAAGTAAGGTATTAGGGAAGGGTTGGAATGTTGGAAGCGGAGTGCTCTGGAGTATGTGGGGGGTGCCCTGTATTCTGGTCCAGTAGGCTTTTTTCCCGACTGAGCTCATCCCTGCGTTCATGGCATAAGCCCTAGGGAGCCAACTCTGGAATTCATAGACACATTTATAGATAAAGGAAAAAAGAAGTACTTTAAATTACCCTAAACTATCTGCTAGCATGAATTATCAGCTCTGGTATAAATAGGTAAAGTAGATGACTCCATTTACCCGGTTGGTTTTCTGTTTTGTTTTGTTTTGTTTTTAAAGTCAGAGTCTCACTCCGTCACCCAGGCTGGAGTGCAGTGGCATGCTCATGGCCACCCCAGCATCAACCTGCTGGGCTGGGACAGTCCTTTCGCCTCAGCCTTCCAAGTAGCCGGAACTATAGGCGTGCACTACCACATCCAGCTAGTTTTTTATTTATTGTAGAGACGAGATCTCACCAAGTTGTCCAGGCTGATCTTGAACCCGTGGACTCAGACAGTCCACTCGCCTCGACCTCCCAAAGTGCTGGGATTACAGGCTGAGCCACCAAGCCCGCCCACTTGCCTGTTTTTAAGTACCTGAGGCAGATGGGTTCATTTGTGTTATATACTCAGTTCTCATGGCTGGGCATTGGAATGTAGTTTACTTAAATAAATGTTCCCATTTTAAAAATAAAAATAGAGCCGGGCTTGGTGGCTCAGCCTGTAATCCCACGCCTGGGAGGCTGAGGTGAGTGGATTGCCTGAGGCCGTAGGTTCGAGACCCGCCTGGGCAGGCGAGACCTCATCTCTACAATAAATCAAAAAATTAGCCGGGCGTGGTAGCGTATGCCTGTAGTTCCAGCTACTTGGAAGGCTGAGGCGAAAGGATCGCTGGAGCCCAGCAGGTCGAGGCTGTGGTGGCCAGGAGTGGCCACTGCACTCCAGTCTGGGCGACAGAGTGAGACTCCAACTCAAAAATTAAAAATAAAAATAAATGTCTAAATTAGTAAGAAAACTGAAAAATACCATGTAGAACAAAACAACCCATTACTCTCTTCGTAAATATGACAATTCGTGTCCCTGCTGTGTGTTTTCCATAACATAGTTAGTATCTTGCTGTGTGTATGACTGTAACCTTGAGGCAACTTTCTTGGCCATTCACTTAATCTTTTCTTGTAGGTAATTGAACGACGCATTCAGCAAGAGCTGCCTTTCATGGCCACAGAGAATATCATCATGGCCATGGTCAAAGCTGGGGGTAACCGCCAGGTTTGTAACCCCTCATGCTCCTGGATAAATAGTGCACCTTTGGTCTTGCTCTTTCCTCCCTGAATAAGAACGGATGAAGGAAGGCATTTGATATTACCTTTAGTCACAGTATTGGTGTAGAGCAGTGACCATATTCTGCCATTTCTAGAGGGTGATTGTGGCAAATTCAGTTTATTAAAGTGAATCATAGCCAGTGCAGTGACTCACGCTGTAATCCCAGCACTTTGGGAGGCAAAGGCAAGAGGGTTTCCTAAACCCAAGGGTTCAAGACCAGCCTGGGCAACTTGGCGAGACCTCACCTCTACAGTAAGTTGTTTGTTTGTTTGTTTGTTTTGAATTGGAGTCTCACTCTGTCACCCAGACTTGAGTGCAGTGGCCGCTCCCAGCCACAGCAGCCTCGACCTGCTGGGCTCCAGCAATCCTTCCGCCTCTGCTTTCCAAGTAGCTGGAACTACAGGCGCGTGCTACCACGCCTGGCTAATTTTTGACTTATTGTAGAGATGAGGTCTCTCCAAGTAGCCCAGACGGGTCTCGAACCCTCAGGCTCAGGCAATCCACCCACCTCAGTCTCCCAAAGTGCTGAGATTATAGGCTGAGCCACCGAGCCCGACTTACAATAATTTTTTTTTAAATGAACTGATATGGTGGCACGTTCCTGTAGTTCCAGCTACTTGGAAGGCTGAGGCGGAAGCTGCCTGCGCCCAGCAGGTCGAGGCTGCAATGGCCATGAGCATGCCACTGCAATCCAGCCTGGGTGACAGTGAAACGCCGACTCAAAAAAAGAAAAAAGTGAATCATTTAATCATTTGTAGAAAAAATCCACTCTGACTGAAGGAATGAGGTCTGAAATTCTATAGGAAGTGATGGGAAGTGAGCAGCAAGCAACAGCAAAAGTTCATGAATCTTTGAAGAACAGAGGCCAGAGCAAGGTGGGCATCCATTTCAGGTTCATCCTAAGGTGTGATTAGAGAGTTGAAATCTTGGCAGAGTCAGACTAAACGGAACCACCTCAGCCTAGAGGGTTTTTGTGTACCAGCTGTGTAGACAGCATGGATATGAAATATCTGATGACTTTTTTTTTCTTTTTTTTATAAGTAAGAGTCTCACTCTTGTCACCCAGGCTGGAGTACAGTGGCATGCTCACAGCCACTGCCTTGACCTCCTGGTCTCAAGTGATCCTTCTACCTCAGCTTCCAAGTAGTTGGAACTATAGGCACACGCCACCACATCCAGCTGATTTTTTAAATTTATTGTGGAGACAAGGTCTCCCCAAGTTACCCAGGCTGGTCTTGAACCCCTGGTCTCAGGCAGTCCTCTCATCTTCGCCTCCCAAAGACGCGGGATTACAGGCGTGAGCCACTGTTCCTGGCATCTGATGACTTTTTGAGTTGGAGTCTCACTCCGTTGCCCAGGCTGGAGTACAGTGGCACACTCAGCCATCGCAGCCTTGACCTGCTGGGCTCAGGCAATCCTTCCGCCTCAGCCTTCCAAGTAGTCAGAACTACAGATGCACCTTCCAAGTAGTCAGAATTACAGATGCCACAACGCCTGACTTGTTTTTGTGATTTATTATAGAGATGAGGTCTCACCAAGTTGCCATGGCTGGTCTCGAATCCCTGGGCTCAGGCATTTCTCTCGCTTCGGCCTCCCAAAGTGATGGGATTACAGGCGGAGCCACACGCACCCAGCCTCTGATAACTTTTTAAGAGCTTTCAAATTCCTTGTTAGACAACTGACACTGTTTCATTTCCTAGGAATGCCATGAGAAAATCAGAGTGCTTTCCCAGCAGGCAGCTACTGTGGTTAAGCAGGAAGGGGGTGACAATGACCTCATAGAGCGGATCCAGGCTGATTCCTACTTCAGTCCCATTCACTCTCAATTGGACCATTTGCTGGATCCTTCTTCTTTCACTGGTCGTGCATCCCAGCAGGTAAGCATCTGTCAGAATCCTTCCAGGAGTCTTTCCCAGCTGCCCTCTTTTCTGCTTGACTGCAGAACCTGGGATGCTGTCTTTGATGTTTCTATTTTATGGGAGGTATAGTGGAATTGGAACTAGTTAGAAGGAAGTCAGAGCACATTGCTGGCTAAAATGTAAAGATTTGGCTCTCTTGAGCTGCCTTAAGTATTTACTCTTGTGGATTTCTCGGGATTCTCTTTTGGTCTTGAGAATATGGTATGGCCGGGCTTGGTGGCTCAGCCTGTAATCCCAGCACTTTAGGAGGCCGAGGCAAGTGGATTGCCTGAGCCCGCAGGTTCAAGATCAGCCCGGGCAACTTGGCAAGACTTGATCTCTACAATAAATAAAAAGTTAAGCCGGGCTCGGTGGCTCAGCCTGTAATCCCGCGTCTTTGGGAGGTTGAGGTGAGTGGATTGCCTGAGCCCGCGGGTTCAAGACCTGCCTGGGCGGCCAGACCTCATCTCTACAGCAAATCAAAAAATCAGCCGGGCGTGGTAGCGCATGCCTGTAATTCCGGCTACTTGGAAGACTGAGGCGGAAGGATCGCCGGAGCCCAGCAGGTCGAGGCTGCGGTGGCCGGGAGCGGCCACTGCACTCCAGTCTGGGCGACAGAGTGAGACTCCACATACCTGTAGTTTCGTCTACTTGGAAGGCTAAGGCAGAAGGATTGCCGGAGCCCAGCAGGTCGAGGCTGCGGTGACCAGGAGTGTGCCACTGCACTCCAGTCTGAGTGACAGAGTGAAACTCCAACTCAAAAAAAAAGAGAGAGAATATGGTATAATGGACAGATAATTGGGTTTTATCATCAGGTGGATCTGGGTTCATTCCTGACTTCTGACATTTACTGGCTCCTAAGATAAAAATATATATTTCATGGTCTGTAAGGATTGTAATGCCTAGCAAGGTACTTGGTGCATGGTAAGGCCTCAGTAAATGTTCTGTCATTTTTCCTCTTGACCTTTTGGAAAATACTAAAAGAGTTAATTCAAAAACATTTAAGGAGGCTGGGCACAGTGACTCATGTCTGTAATCTCATCAGTTGAGAGATCAAGGTGGAAGGATCACTTGAGGCCAATAGTTCAAGACCAGTCTGTGCAACATAGTGAGACCCTGTCTCTATAAAAATAAAAATTAGTTGGCTGAGCCAGGCTCGGTGGCTCAGCCTGTAATCCCATGCCTTGGGAGGCTGAGATGAGTGGATTGCCTGAGCCCGCAGGTTCGTGACCCGCCTGCGCAACTTGGCAAGACTCATCTCTACAATAAATGAAAAATCAGCCGGGCATGGTAGCACACGCCTGTAATTTCGGCTACTCGGAAGGCTGAGGCGGAACGATCGCCGGAGTCCAGCAGGTCGAGGCTGCGGTGGCCGGGAGTGGCCACTGCACTCCAGTCAGGCGACAGAGTGAGACTCCAACTCAAAAAAAAAAAAAAAAAATTTAATTGGCTGTGATATTGTAGGCCTGTAGCTCCAGCTACTTGGGAGGCTAAGGTGGGAAGATTGCTTGAGCCCAGAAATTCGAGGCTGCAGTGAGTCATGATCACACTGCTGTACTCCAGCCTGGGCAACAGACCCTGTCTCTAGAGAAAAGAAAACATTTACTGAGTGTATACTAGGCACTCAGTATTTGTTCAGGTGCTGTGTTTAATTCTGGAGATTTAAAGATGAATAGATAATCATTGTCTTCAGGGATCTCAAAACAATGGTAAAGACTTATAAATAGGTCATTGTAATACCAAGCAGTATATGCAGGAATCGAGGGAAGTATATCCTTTGGGGAGCATCACAAGGGTGGAGGCATCCTTTCTTTCTTTCTTTTTTTTTTTGAGTTGAAGTCTCACTCTGTCGCCCAGACTGGAGTGCAGTAGCCGGGAGTGGCCACCGCAGCCTCGACCTGCTGGGCTCTGGCGATCCTTCCGCCTCAGCCTTCCAAGTAGCTGGAACTACAAGCACGTGCTACCACGCTCGACTAATTTTTTTGATTTATTGTAGAGATGAGGTCTCGCCAAGTTGCCCGGGCGGGTCTCTAACCCACGGGCTCAGGCAGTCCACTCACCTCAGCCTCCCAAAGCATGGGATTACAGGCTGAGCCACTGAGCCTGGGATAATTTTTTTGATTTATTGTAGAGATGAGGTCTCGCCAAGTTGCCCAGATGGGTCTTGAACCCGCGGACTCAGGCAATCCACTCACCGCAGCCTCCCAAAGCATGAAATTACAGGCTGAGCCACCGAGCCCGGCTGTACTTTTTTTCTTTTATCAGCGTCTCTGCTGCCCAGGCTGGAGGACAGTGGCATACTCATGGCCACTGTAGCCTCAACCTGCCAAGTAGCTATAGCTGGAACTACAGGCACGTGCCACCACACCCAGCTAATTTTTTTTTTATTGTAGAGACGATGTCTCACAAAGTTGCCCAGGCTGGTCTTGAACTCCTGGGCTCAGGCAATCCTCTTACCTCTGTCTCCCAAAGTGCTGGGATCACAGATGTAAGCTACCATGCCCGACTGAGGCATCTTTTTTTTTATTTGGCATCTCACTCTGTCTCCCAGGCTGGAGTACAGTGGCGCATGCTCACAGCCACCGCAGCCTCCTTCTGAGCTCAGGTGATCCTTCTGCCTTAGCCTTCCAAGCAGCTGAAACTACAGGCACGTGCCACACGGGCCTAGCTATTTTTTTGATTTACTGTAGAGATGAGGTTGCGCAGGCTGGTCTTAAGCCTCTGGGTTCAGGCAATCCTCTCACCTCGGCCTCCCAAAGTGCTGGGATTATAGGCATGAGACACTGCGCCCAGCCTAAGACACTGCGCCCAGCCTGAGACATCCTTTTTAAGGCAAAGTGTAGGAGGAGTTAGGAAAGTCTTCCTGGAAGACACATTTGAGCTGACAAGTAGGGGCTAGCCTGGAAACCCCCAGGTTAAGAGGAGATGGAAAATTATATAGCCCCCAACTTTGTGATGAGAGCAACCACAATCAGTTGAATGTTTCTGGAGTAGCACGTACCCCCGAAGTAGTTACCCTATTTGAAACTGAAGACAGACAGCAGTGGTTATGTAAAGATTTTATTGGAAAGACTTAAAACTTGGGGTAGGAGACAAATACAACTACCTCAACAGGCCAAGCAGTAGGTGATAAGGGCTTTGAGCCAAGACAGTGGTTATAGACACAGATAGGGGAGAGAGGAGGCTAATCTCTTGGCGACTAGTTGAATAGGGCTGGGAAGCAAGAGGGGAAAAGCTATGATTTCAGCATGGATGGAAATGGTGAGGCCAACTGGGAGAACACATCCTTCTGTGGGGAAGGATGATGAGCATATGGGTATGATGGGTTGAATCGCCTGTGTCTAAGGAAAGATTTCTGATAGGCAGTTGAGGAAAACACTGGTGGAGTAAGAGCTTTATCAGATTAGGTTTTAGTTATGTCAACTGTATTATCCACTTACAGCTTAACCTTTTTTTGTTTTATATTTGTTTTCCTCTTTGGCAGATACAGAGATTCTTAGAAGAGGAGGTATATCCCTTGTTAAAACCATATGAAAATGTGATGAAGGTGAAAGCAGAATTATGTCTGTAGATTTGGAAGAGAATTAAAGCGAAAAATCATTGGTGATTTTGTGAACTCAGTTGCTGAGGCATGAAAATAGAATTGCTGTGGTGCCTTATTTTACCTTAAGAATTATTACCACCGGGCTTGGTGGCTCAGCCTGTAATCCTGCGCTTTGGGAGACTGAGGTGAGTGGATTGCCTGAGCCCACAGGTTCAAGACCCACCTGGGCAACTTGGCAAGACCTCATCTCTACAAGAAATCAAAAAATTTGCCGGGCGTGGTAGTGTGCGCCTGTAGTTCCAGCTACTTGGAAGGCTGAGGCGGAAGGATCGCCGGAGTCCAGCAGGTCAAGGCTGTGGTGGCTGGGAGCAGCCACTGCACTCCAGTCTGGGTGACAGAGTGAGACTCCAACTCAAAAAAAAAAACAAAAACAAAAAAAAGAATTGTTACCTTAGACACATTCTCCTGAGAATGGGTATATAAGGCTGGGTGCAGTGGCTCAAAGCCTGTAATCCCAGCACTTTGGGAGTCCAAGGTGAGAGGATTGTCTGAGCCCACAGGTTCAAGACCAGCCCGGGCAACTTGGCGAGATGTCATCTCTACAATAAATCAAAAAGTTATCTGGGTGTGGTGACACACACCTGCAATTCCAACTTCTTAGAAGACTGAGGCAGAAGGATCACCGGCAGTCAGCAGGTTGTCGCTGGAGTAGCCGTGAGTGTGCCTCTGCACTCCAACCTTAGTGACAGGATGAGACTCAAAAAAAAAAAAAAGAATTGTTACCTTAAATTAATACAGTACTTCTTCCTGTGGTGTTTTCATAGTTTTCAAGTTTTCACATTTCTCAACATTGCGGAAACAAAATGCATTGAAGTTGACTATTTACAGCATACAAACTTGCATAATAAATGTAACTCATGCTTATTCTCTGTTCTTTTAAGGCGTATTTTCCAGCTGCCTCAAGTCTAGTCCTTTTCACATGTTCACTTGCTTGTAAAGTAGCAAAAACTTCCTGGTTCCTTCTCCTAAAGGTGAATTTGGTCTAAGTCTAGCAAAATAACCTTGCCTCAATGCTTCAGTGTGGTTGGATACCTTTATTTCAGTTATATTTGGCTAGAGTAAGTAATGAATTCTGAAGCTACAATAAATACCAAACAGAAAAACCCAAAACAAATGTCCATAAAATCACTGATGTGGCCAGGTATGGTGGCTCACGCCTATAATCCTAGCACTTTGGTAGACTGAAGTGAGAGGACTGCTTGAGCCCGTGGGTTCGAGACCAGTCTAAGCAACTTGGCAATACTTCATCTCTACAACAAATCAAAAAAAAAATTAGCCAGGCATGGTGGCACATGCCTGTAGTTCCAGCTGCTTGGAAGGCTGAGGCGGAAGGATCACCTGAGCCCAGCAGGTTGAGGCTGCAGTGACCGAGAAATTGTCACTGCCCTCCATCCTGAGTGACAGAGTGACACTCCAACTCAAAAAAAAATTATGTGAGCATCAGGATTACTCAGCTCAAGTTTTGCCTGACATAATTTCATCTTTTTTTTTTTTTTGAGTTGGAGTCTCATTTTGTCACCCAGACTGGAGGGCAGTGGAGGCTCCTGGCCCCTGGGACCTCAACCTGCTGGGCTCCGGTGATCCTTCCACCGCGTGCTTCCATTGACCTGGAATTACTGGCATGCGCTACTGAACCTGTGTGATTTTTTTATTTATTGTTTGTTGAGCTCTCGCTGCCCTATGTGATCTCCTTGTGTTTAGGTCTCTTCATCTTGTCTTGGTGGGCTCAGATCATATGACGAGCAAGACTGAGAATGAGGTGCCAGACTCTCTTAACAACTAGCTCTCCAGGGCAACAAGAGTGAGATCTCTCTCACTCTCGAGAGAGGTTATTAATCTCTTCATCAACGAGCCACCCCGATGACACA